GAGGTATTTAAGTATTCTGCAATTAGTTGTGACATATTGGTGGTAAAGGTATTTCTACTGCCGAAGATGGTTCTGAGCCCTCTGAGTGGCCCAGGCTTTTGGATCTGTCATGAAGATCTGTATTTAAAGAGCCTTTATTAGCTAAATATGTATGTTTACCTATATTAGTCTCTATTTTCATAAACTTACATTCATCAAGATTGCATATATATTATTAATGAAAGTAAGAAAACAAAATATCTTAAATTATAAGCTAATATATAACAAGTGGCAAAATCTGTCGTGGCCGGATAAAGCTGGTCATGGTGCTGAGAGGGTTAAAGGTGTTAAAGGTCCATGGAGCTTTACTTCTGTATGGAAGATTAAATAGTGGTACAATCGTAGTGTAGTTTGGAACCTCTTCATAACCAAATAATAGAGATAGAATTTGTTTGTCATATCTGGAACATCTTCATAACCAAATAATAGAAGTGAAATTTGTTGTCTTATCCTCTAATGCTCTTTTCACATAACATGATGCAACATATTTTTAAGAACTCTATTTCAGCCCTCTACTAAACCATTGCTAGGTGAATACATTGGACATGAAAATCTTGGATATGCCCTATTCTAAGAAATTTCTGTGTTAATATAGAGGTAAAATTGGTTCCCTGATCGCTTGTACATCTGGTATTCTTGTCGAAGAAAATGTCTGCAACAGTGCTTTATACGTAGATCTGACATTCAGGAAAATCTTGGGTAGCTTCAAGCCATCGTTTATGCTCATCCGTAATGCATAACACATAATTATTTCCTTGACCCAGTAGTTGATAGATAGTATCAATACTGTCTTGTAGATTGATAGTATCAATCTGTGTTCACAACTTTGAATGGTATTTCTGGTCTGCATGCTAAGGTTATGGATGCTCTTATTTTTTCAGGATTCCTACTGACAGTTTGCATAAGATTTACAATATTCTTAGCAAACAATGGCCAATAAGAAATTATAACTAAATTTTTTATTATTATTCCTAAATATTGAGCAAAAATTGATTTGACTTCTAGATGAAGAACTTTCTGGTATTTTTTCACCAGCAATATCAACAGATTTTTTCCTGCAACTTTGTCATTTATGATGTATTAAATCATCAATTAAAAAAAAATTTCTTTTCCACAGTGTGAAAGTCATTATATTTCCTCTGCTCTTTAAGTTTTCCTGATTCTGACCTAATGGCATTTATTCATTAATTTTAGTTTAATATTAGTGTGCAAGGGTTTGATGTGGTCCACTGTTGATTCTTACAAGCTATGACTCCTTGTTACTTAAAACAATAAAATTTATAACCACAGACTTATTCGTTAAAAGCAGAAGCTGCTACATGGTATTCCAGTTTCACAGAATGGTAAAGACAAATGTGTTGTCAGCTTATGGCATGCTGAGATATTGTGAAACAAGGTAATGTCAGCTGGCTGGTGGCGTGAGCAGCTGACCATAAGATAACCATAGAAATCCTTCTGGTGAGTAGTCACAAGACAAAAAGGGTTGATTTCAATGAATTCTAATGGAAGGCATACACATTCCAATAAGAATTATACATTGAAATGCACATATAAAATAAATTATAGATATGCAAGTACAGTGTTACCTCGATTATCCTGGCTAATGTCATGGAAGCAGATCACAGATAACTGAAAAACATGGATAAGCCATCAATTTTCATTCATTATTGTATGCATTTACTTCTTGGATTTCATTGCATATTGAGATACTATTAGTTTATTCGAATCCCCTTTTGTTAACGAAGTCCAATACTATTTCAGTAGAAATCATTGCTGTCCTGGAACTGATGTAATGAATTGTCAGGATTTTTTCAGCTTTCATTTTCAGTAACACTCTCTGCCTCTTTTGTTGCGACATTTGAAACAGTATTCGCATCTCTCATGCATTGAAAGTCCAGCTTAGTCGGGCAACTATCGAATCATTCTTCAATTTTTCGCTATCAATAATCTTGAAGAATTTTACATTTTAAATATTTTGGCATATAGCTTCACATATATGCCAAAATCTTTATTGAAGATTCACAATTAAATAAATCTTCGATTTCTATATTAAGCAGAATCTTTCTCTGCTCCCAAATTTGTGCATGTGTGTTTTTTACATACTTGCACATAGCATTGAGTGTGTGAGTGGCGGCTGCCATACATGGTTAATCTGCACTCAGATAATCGAGAGTCATTGTAATGATATTACATGAAATACTAGTTGAAATATGTAATGATGCAAATGCATGTTATAATGAAAAATTAGTGAAATAAGAATTTTCAACAGTTTTCAAATGTATGCCATAAAAAATAATAATAAATTTTGAAGTATTCATATACTGTGATAACAGATAAACATGAGAAAAATATTCAATTACTTGCAGTGATCAGTCTTTTTAGAAAATTAACATAAGTCTACTGCAAGTAGTTATAAAGACTCGTATTGTTCCAAAACAATGTTCGAGGCTTCGCAGACCTTTTTTATGTGGAATCTGAGGAATTTCAGATATATCTATACATTCTGACAATATGGGACTGATTTAAACTGTAGTATTTTTGTTATTTACCTCAGTAATAAAAAATGTCAGCTCATTTAATAACAGCATGAGATCCAGCATAAGGTGAATTTAGAAGAGGTTAAACTGAATCAATTCTTATAATTACATATGAACAGGTTTGGACTGCTGGGTATACATAAACTGATGGCTGAAGATGTTTAGAGGCTGGAATTGGTTTGACTGATTAAAGTTGTGAAACATAGGCTTCAGAAAAAGGTACAGAATTTGTAAGATTTAGCATATCTGAGGTAATTTAAGTTTAGTACCAATAAACAAGTTCGCACATATAGTGTTTATATTGTTTTTAATGGCAGAACTTATACCCAACTATTTGCTGAATATCAGACAATTTTGAGTTTTATGAGCCATTATTGCACTTTTAAGCTGCATATGAAATCTTCCAGCCAGCCCATTGGACTGAGAAATTACCTCAGTAATAAAAATTGTCCCTTCATTTAATAACAGCTTGAGATTCAGTGTAAGGGGAATTTAGAAGAGGTTAAATTGAATTAATTATTGCATTTAACCTCTGAAAATCTCCTACAGATCTTTTTTTTTTTTTTTTTTTTTTTTTTTTTTTTTTTTTTTTTGACACCATGTGCATAGAGGAGTAATTACTTTTGAAGTTATACAAAAGTTATGTTACATAAAGTGATAATTTTGTATTTCATTTTTTGCAATTTTTAATCTGTTCAGAACTGAGCTTCTAGGCTTACATGATACAGGAGGACCTACCATTTCAACCCTTAACGCTTTCATTAAGATCAGGAAGCTTTGACAATGAAGAATAGTTAAGCAGTAATTTATCATGTGTTATGTTTGCAGTAGTTGTTTTGATAGAATACAAATGTGTGTTACTGATATTACAATTCATTTTTAAGTAGCTTTTAAATCAACTAATTTTCTGTTTTTTAAATCCATAGAGAATCAGATTCAGTAATATTTGTTGACACTTCACATACATAAAAAACAAAATTAAAATTTCAAAGAAATCTGAGGTCTGGACTTGATTTTTTGTCCATAAACCAAAATTGTAGTACTGTTGCAGCAGAAAATGTCGGTCTGAAGAGTTTTTTCTGTGGTTTCTGAAAGGATATCTGAACCTGTGTAAGATTTTATTTATTTTTCTGTCTCTAATGAAGACAACAGTTTACTTTGGCCTTTTTGGTCTATTTGTATATATATATAATATATACACACACACACTGTCGGGCCAAACATTATGATCATCCCCACATTTTTCAATGAACTCATCTGGATGATGTGGAGGGCACTCGATTAAGCAGAAATGGTACTTGACTACTGTTGGAGAAGGTGAGGAATCATTTTTGCACTTACTTTTGTGAGTAATCAGAAAGGCTGCTGATCTAAGCGAGTTTGATAGTAGACAGATTATAATGGCCGAAGACTCGTAACGAATATCTCTGGAACTCCACAAATGATATGCTGTTCACAGTCTGTCGTTGTTAGTGTTTATGCAAAATGGATAAATGACAGTGAAACCAGCAGTAGATGCCATAGTGTTGGACGTCCACGTGTCATCAAAGAAAAAGGATGTCGGAGACTGTCCCGCTTGGTACAGCAAAATCGGCACCTGTCAGTGGCTTAGCTGACAGCCCAATACAATGCAGGTACAAGTGCAAGTGTTTCAGAACACACAGTCCTCTGTTCACCAAGCCTCATTGTAAACTATGCCCACAGTGGGCCCGGGAACTTCGAAGACTGGTCCATGATAAGTGGAAAACAGTAGCATGGACGGATGAATCACATTTTCTCATTCATCACATCGATGGTCATGTTAGGGTATGCTGTCTTCCAAGCAAATAGTTTGCCCCACTTCCCGGTAGAGCAGCTCATACACAGGCTGTGGTGGTAATATGCTTTAGGAGACATTCATGGGTGCCTTCGGGATCTTTGGTTGTGGTAGAACAGACCATGAAGTCTGCAGATATCTGAACATAATTGCAGATCAGTTGCACTATTACATGGCGTCTGTCTTCCCGAATGGAAATTAAATTCTCCAGCAGGACAATGGCTCCATGTTACAAGCCTCGAATAATGTTGAAGTGGTTTTAGGAGCATAAGGATGAATTTCAATTAATGTCCTGGCCACCGAACTCACCAGCTCTTAACCCAGTAGAGCAAATTTGGGATGTCGTGGAGCTGCAGCTCAGAGCTCAAACACTACATGTCGGAATATCTTAACATATGACTGCAGCTTAGACATTTAAAACAACCTGTCTCCAGCCATCTACCAAGAATGTGTTACATCCAGGCCAAGGCCAGTTGCAGCTGTTTTGCAGGCCAAATTTTGTACAATGCATTCTTAAGTAGGTAGTCATAATGTTTTGGCTCTTCAATGTGTGTATATAAATATTTGGCATAATGTTTTAACTTGTTGTTAATTTTTTTCTATTTCAGGTGCTAAGGTAGCATAACTAAAAAAGCTTATATATGAAAGCAATGAAGAATCGTTTTCAATATGTAAATTTTGTATATAAGAAATAAACTTTTACAAAAATGAAATTAAGTAACTCTTATATATATGGAATTATGCAATCATAGTTAAGTTAATCCTTTGATAACAATGGAAGAAACTGATATGCAGGAGGTATGTTCTAGAGCAGCAGTCCCTTGCTACACCCCCTTTATAACTTTTTGTAATTAAAGGAATACCTTCAGTTTTTCTTTAATACATATGATCTCCTTGCCTTTCCAGTATTCCCACAGTATATCATGCTAATGTTTATGTATGACCACAGTACATCTTTTATGGTATTTTTTTTAACACCATAAAATTAATCGATTAATTAATTAAGCTAGGAAATTTAATCCAAAGACTGGTTATTTCAAATAAACACAGTAATAACACATATTTTTAAATTAAAACATAGCATTATTAATGTACTGTAATTATTTTCTATTTCAGTTTTTGTAAAATAGAAATGAGAAAATTGATGAATTTATTAACTGTTAATAAATTCTAGACATAAACTAAAAATGATAAGCATTCTTGAAACAATGTTATGTTATAGTAAAGTACTGACTGAATATGTAATAATTAATATATAACTTCATTCACACTAAGTTGCAGACTAAAGTCTTGATCTGTAAGAAAATACTAATAGCCATAATACTCAAACCCAAAATGAATAGTACTATACCATATTGTATAGCTAAAAATTGCAGACTTAAAAAATATACATATATTTACTAAATATGTATCAAAACAAGCATAAATAGTAATAAGAATTTTAAACAAGTAAGTTAAAATAAAATATTTAAAAAAAAAAAAAAAATCTGAAAGCTTTCAGATTTTATATTATGCTCAAAAGATTGTTTTCTAATGTTTTGTGTATTACCTTTATTTATTAAATATCAAGTTCTTTGCACTTAAGCCACATAAAATTCAATTCATCAGCAATATCACAAAATATTTAAAAACAGCATATCTTTAGAATTTCCTATACACAGTCTCATGCACTGGAGATAAAAACATTTTTTTTTTTTTCATGCAAAGTTGCCATTGCTCACTTTGAAATTACTGAGTTTGTTAATCAAAAATTCGTTAAAGATTTACAAAATTTGAAATAGATAATAAAACAAATTCAGACTCCCAAGATTCCATGTTCGGTTAGAGGACTACACTATTCAAAATTTTATGGCTCTGGGTACCGTTGTTTCTTCACAATGCAAGAAATATTCATGCAGATTCTTTATTAATTAGTTTCTTTAAATATAAAACATGGTAATAATATTTGTTGGCAACAGTTTGAAAAGTGAATTGACGCAAATGTCGTTTTGAAATTAATAGTCCTTCTGGGCTAACAACCTAAAAAACTGAACGCGTTCAGATTTAGCAATATGCCAAAAGGGACATTTTTTTTTTAAATTTATTTTATTATTATTAAATTATTCAAGTTTTGAGAGCATTTGGTTAAATGTCCTTTGGGATAAAAATATTTAAAAACAGCATATCTTTAGAATTTGTGATAGACAGACTCCTGCGCTGGAGATAAAAATGTTTTTCCCATACAGTGTTATAATTCCTCGCTTTGAAATCGTTGAGTTTCTTAATAAAAAATTTGCCAAGTTTTATAAAATATGAAATAGACAATAACAAAATTTGAAATTTCAAACTCAGGCTTCCAGGTGGAGGACTAGGTTATTCACAGTTTGATGGCTTTAGGTACCATTGGTTTTTCACAATGTTAGAAGGTATACATACATTCATGCAAATTCTTCATTATTTAATTTCTTTTAATATATTACAGGGCAATAATATTTGGTGACAACAATTTGAAAATTGATACAATGTTTTTAGTGATTCAGCGCAAAATGCCATTTCTAGACTAATAGCCCTTTTAGGTTAATGATACTTTATCATATTCTATATCTAAAAATTAATAAAAAAATCATTAACAAAGAAGGTAAGGTAGGCCTTCATTCTTGTTCAAGACCCATTATTAATGTGATTCTTTATCTCACTTTCATGAGGAAAAAGTTTTGAAGACAAGATCAAATTTCAAGAGATAAATTATTAAATCCGAAACAGCATGCCATTTGTTACAATCATTATTTGAATAATACGTCTAACTTAAGAATGTTCTTTTTACAAATTCAGTGTTTATGAATGCAGAAAAATATTTTAATGCCTTGTCAGCTGTCTTCAGATTTAGCCTTCAAGTATCAATTAGTCAAAGACTGTTCTAAGAATAAAAGGTAAATTTATTTATCATTTTATTCAATGAGGAATTTAAACTTTCTAAATATTTTGCTTTTCTAGCATCGTTTATTATAACTCTGTTGTTTTTTGCCATTGCTGATAATTGTTTGCATATCCCTGATTAAGACGTTATGTATTTCCAAGGATACACATATCATAGTTGAAAACTGAACAGTGGTTTCCAAACTTTTTGACTCATGGAGCCTTATTTAGAATCAACTTCCCTAATTAACCCCCTTTAGCCTTGTCCTATTGTAATGTATTTTGCAGTAATTGACAAAACAGGCAATCTTCTTACTAGAACATAAATTTTATTTCTAGTTCACGGAGATAGATAAATTGAAGAAATTCTTTAGTGGCAAAACTTTCATACTACTACTAGCTGGTAAAAACTTCAGAATTCTAATTTTAAAACAATTTCTCACGTTGCTGAGCAACGTTTACATAGTACAAATATGGTGTTGCCACTTCAACAATAAATATAGTTATTTATTAAATAACAAGATATTAGACTATGTAAAAAAAGAAAGAGGTATAGATAGTAAGGAAAAAAAGAAAAACAATCAAAGAAAGAAAATATCTAAACAGTTGTGCAATGTCATTGAAATAAAATTGCATTTTTAAATTTACTATAATATCTCAATTATTACTATAATATCTCAGTGCAATATTGCCAAATGTTAGGCATACATAAACATTCTTCCAAAGTTAAATAAATCAAATCAATTTGTGTTAGAGCAGGTAATTGTCGCAGAATGGCCACTTAATGCACAACTCTTTCTGCCTAAAAAAATTATATTGTTAAAGAATTTTGTCTTAAAGTTACAAAACTTTTAATATTAATGTTAAAATTTTTAGAACTATGTAGTTTTTCAATTGTTGTTAGCATTAAAAATAAAATCTAATGGCAATGCTAAAATTTTCAGGAATATATAATTTCCCTACTCTTGTTAATGTTAAAAATAAAATCTAATGATTGTGATAAAATTTTGCAGAAAAGTATAGATTTATGCCAGAGTTTTTAAAACTTTTAATACACACTTTTTGGGGGGAGGAGGGGAGAGATAGCTAGCTTTCCTCTCCCCTCCTCCCCCCCAAAAAAACATCAAGCCATTTTGAGTTAAGCTTTCAGTGCCTACTGACATTTAAAACACTGATTTTTCTGGTTTTGGAATAGAGCTCTGTTAGTGATGCAGTAGATAATTTGGCTAACGTCCATTATCTGGCCTAGATATTGAATATTCAGCAACTAGTATTTATTCACTTATGATTATATGACTAAATATTTGGCAAAATAAATATGCATGAAAGTAAAAATTCTTTTATTTAAAAAAAATTTCAATGCTTTTATTAAATGTTTTTATTAAATTTTATAATGTTTAATTAAAAATACAAAAATAATTTTTCTTCCTTAAGCCAAAGTTGATAATTTCACAAATTATCTAATGATTCTTTATACACATTTTTGCCATTTTCAGAATTAGTAAAATAATGATGTGGAAAATTATATGTATTCAATACTTTTATGCAAAAAAGCATAAAGTTGTTGCACAGTATTACCCACTTTTAACATGATGTGTATATGCTACCAAATATGAAAAAAAGTTCTTTTAATTATTTTAAATATATTAGGATAATTAACTCTCTTATTTTCTATCAGCTTAGTGATCAGTTTCTAGAACTGGGTTAGAAAGCTACTTAATCAGTGAATAAAAATTAATTGTTCATTCACTTGCATATTCTGTACTTGAAGCACAGCATACTAGAAATTTTTTTATTAACATGAGATAAAAATTTCCATTTTGATTATTTTGAGATTGTTAATGCTAGGCATAATTTTTTTTTTCATTAACAAGAGTATATTTAGCCATTTCTTGCACTTCATTTTTAGCCTTTCTTTACCTTTATTGGTTAGTGGAAATGAAGATTTTTAGATCTTGGATTTAAATTAAGCACTCTGGCAGCCACACACTTACAGTACAAAGTCCGAGATCTGGCCTCGGTGATACTGGATTTGGGATTTTTCCAGATATCCTTAAAAGGTTGCCACTCAAACAGGAGAATGAAATTCCCTGACTTTTCCAGGTGTGTTTTAAGAAAATTCCAGTCTATCCGCGTAATGCGCATTGGCTGTGCTGAGAGGTAAATTAATTATGGTACCACTTGAAAACACAAAATTTGCCAATTAAGTAAGACAAAATCGCTTTCCCAAAGCATTACTATTATAACTATAATCATAGTTGTTTCCTCCACTGAAGATTGGGATTAGAATCTGTCCAATCTGGATTAAAAAATGTCTTTTTTTGAGATATTTTGCAGCTAAGTTAAACAAAGAAATCTATTTAATGATATTTTTTAAATAAATTCAGGTATTTTACATTTATTTAGCAGCATACATAAGCAAAATATACGTGCATTAATTCGTGATGGTATGTCATCATACTGCTAGAATTAGTTGCAGGAGTATGCCAGAGAAAATTGCCTAAAATTTGAAAGGACTCATACTAAATGCATTTAGAGAGAAGAAGCAACATTAAAATAAAGTTAATTACTTAAAACTTGAATTAAAATAACCAACGATATTTTGAGGAATATAGTTAGTTATATTAAATGGTTAGCCTAGATGACTGCTTAGTGTTTTTATATTTTACTACAAAATGACAAATAAGGCATTTGTTAAAAAGATTTTGTGGAAAAATTCTAGTATACGGTACATTCTTGACATGATTTTGAAAATTGTCGCCAACGCCAAAGTGACCTGTTTACCATTCATCATAAATGTCCGGTTTACTGCTCATAA